ACTGTAAGAATTTTGACCGATTAATACAATCAGTTAAACGGTTTAAAAAGTCATTTAATTATTTATCTTTTCAGTAATTTATAAATATTTAAAAAGGTTTGCTGCATGGTTAAAATATGCTACGCGTATAAAAAAACATAAATCGCGTATAAGTCGCATTTTATTATTTCATTCAGAAATAGCCTATAGGCCTAATGCCTACACGAAATGTTTACAAACATTATAATAAACACTGTAAACAAATCCTTTCAATTAACAGTAGCCTATTTAGAAAAGTACAAGAATTAAAAATATAAGAAGCTAGGCCTATAGCAATAAAGACAAGCCAAAACGAATTCATTTAGGCTAAAACGAAACTGAAACCAACGTTGGGTCTCTCATTCGACACAAAATCAAATGTTTCCGTATTCACGATGCATTTGAATGGCAAATTATTATTTATGTACTTCACTCTACAGTCTTTTACCGTTAAATTCACGGTCATTTTTTACAGTGTAGTCCTGTCTTTAGATATAATTCATAATACAATTTCATATTTTTTTTACCTCCAGTCATGTCGTCCATAAAGGTTAGTGAATATTCTGTCCTGGTCAGCTAAAGGTCCATATTTGGTCTTCTTTGGTGTTTCCTAGAGGAAACATACTGATTATAGCTAGTTTCCATTGATCATCAATCATGCAGACAGTGGATTTGAGTAACTGGTCACCTGTTGAGCTGTGCTGCTGTTGTATCGCACAAGTGTCATGGAGTTTGGGGGAGAGGCAGTGCTGGCGGCTACAGAAGTGCGTGATGCACCAGTTGCAACCACGGCAACCGTGGCACGTGAAGCCCCAGTGGTGAGAAACCGGCTAAGAACAGGACAACCGAGACAGGACAACATCTTATCTGAAAGAGATGGATGGTAAAGTTTCCTCATAACCAAAGCTGTACCACATGGTGCACTGTTTAATAACAATTCCAGTCCTAATATCCCATTATTATTAACTAAAACTGAAACTATTAAAAATTGTTTTTGGTAATTAAAATAAAGCTACAATTAAATTAGATAAAAATTTCTGAAAAAAAACTAAAATGTTGCCTTGGCAACTAACTGAAATATGTTTAATATGAAGTGTAAAAATGACTAAAACTGAAATTAAGTAGAAATACTAAAAATAATAATAATAAAATAACAATTATAATAAATAATAAAAATAAAAAACACAATTACTAATCATTAAAAAAATGAAAACGACATATAAAAAAAGGATTTCTAATGTTATTGCTGCAATAAATTTTCACAAAATCAAATGTTTGCATGTTTGTTGGGAACAAGTCGACCGGAGGGAAGAACTAAACATCCCAAAATAATAATAGCAAATAAAATTAATTCACAACACAAACTTTTGAGGTTCAACACTGTACCACAATCGATACATGAACTAATAAAAAGCCCTCAAAATGCATCAAAACTTCAGACAAATTGAATGAAGGGAACAGTTACGCAAGGCAAGAGATGGAAAGTGTAAATAGTTCAGCTGCGGCAATAAACACACATCCATATAGATCAAAGAAGCCTCCGTATTATACATTATTACATAAACACACAAGCTAAACTCTCTCAGACATTGTACAGTAAGTTAACCCGTTGAAAACGGACTCGTCCTGCAGTGACCTCCAGTATATATTTACACCCATGACATTTGAGGGACAGTGGCGTGTCCACAAGGGTGGCACGGGGTGGCAACTGCCACCCTTAAAATGAGCTTTGCCACCCCAGTTGCCACCCCAAAGCAGCGTATGGGATCGAAGTGCATTGAGAGCGGAGCAGCGTGATTTTAACTGAAGCGGGGATCTTTTGAAAGTCGGAGAATTCTGGTTTTCGCTCGCTCTCAGAGTGCTCCACTACCGCTCAATCACTAGCACAATTAATGCCGTAACTATAGCCGTTCTAAACTAGTTCTGCCTACAAGGATTGTACTGCACGCATGTAGACACATAACGGATCACTCACACACAGAAACAAAAAATGTTGTCAACGCTGCCCTGTGATTTGTCAATAAAAATGCTTAGAAACAGAAAGTTATACCGAAAATTTCTTTGTGTTTTGAAGTAATCAAAATCCACAGCTTCACTATTAGTAGGGAGACGTTGCACAGACAGGCAGGACTAATTTAGACGTAATCGCGCTCTCACAAATGCATTCAAATAAATGTAATTTTACTGTGCTTCTATGTATCTGATTTAATAACCGATAAAATAACTGACGAAAATGTAGCCTACTATCATTTCATCCTTCCAAACAAAATTCACACTTCAAAAAGCTGCAATGACAGATTTAACTTTAATGTAACTGATTACATTGGATTACTTTTTGATTACTTTTCTAAATTTTTAATATTTTCTACTGTTAATCATTTTGAAACATTTAAAGCAGGCAGGGTTAACCTTACAGTAGAACTCAACACTGATTATTGGCAGACTTTCAAAAGCCTGCATCACTTGAATTAAGATTATAATCATTTAATTTTAAAGCACAGCCACTACAAAATCAGACTTTAGCACCTTTTTTACTTTGAGATCAATCTGATTCTGGATAAATTCAGATCGTTCTGGTTAAATACAGGTTTAAAATCATAACAAGAAATAGTTTGATAGCTATGATACTGTTTTTAAAATCAAATCTTTTCACAGCTATGACAGGAAACACTGGCATCTAACAATGCCTTGGGGAAAAAATAAGTTAATCTTAAAGCATATGCATAAACCCAAATAGGAAATTAAACGGTTATCGAATAAGCATGCATCTTATTCTGTGTTCTAAACTCCTGAAACATTGGTGCTTCGTATTTTAGAGCAGTCACTGCAATTAAGAAATAAATGAATCAAATCTGTATGTGCGTGTTTGTGTGAAAACCCCCTTTGTAATTGTTGACATTTTCATAAGTAACTGTAGGCTAATTTAATTACACTTTTTTTTCTCAGTAACTGTAACAGATTGCACTTACATTTATTTTGTAATTAAATTACGTAATTCCGTTACATGTAATTAGTTACTCCCCAACACTGGTGTTGAATATACAGAATATATGGGGAGTACAAACACTGATCTATAGTTGCCACCCCTCATTCTGCTCTTGCCCCCTCTTTGCCACCCTAAGTATAAAATCCTGGACACGCCCGTTGAGGCACCGCGGCACTGCACGACGTTAATGTTTGGATTTATTTACAGAAGGTATATGAGATTGTCAAAAACTGAGAAACTGTCAAAACCTTGATTTGCAGACAGAAGACTCAAGTGAAAAAGCCTAACCGCTGCTTACCTTCGTGAGCTCCCTGGATCAGCGTTATAAAATGTAACAGCGGAACGAATATAGCGACCCACCCGGATGTAATAACAGCTTTGACCTGTTATGTGTGGAGGCGCTGTTGCACAGTTTAATGTAAAATAGTGCCTTAAAGCCTTCAATTGCCCCTAAATAAATAAATAAACTAACTAACTAACCACTGATATCTGTGTAAACTTGAAGACACTTGATTTTATATTCTGTTATCTATCCAATACAATTTTATGTCTGGTTTAATTGTCCAAATAATTTTTCTTCATGGTCAAATACTTCATAGTCATATTATTTCGCCCCAAGTATAAATAGTACAAACCACTTTATTTGGTTTGAAGTGCAGTTTTATTTAGTGTTTTGTATGAAAACAATTCAATAAAGGAAACTGTAATTCCCTGTATATAATAATGACACATTAAGCTGGTAAACTTAATATTCTACCAAACTGTATGTAGACTCATGTACAGCAATTGTATTTAACAGTTAATAATATACATTAATAATATAGTGGCATATGAAACACATCAAATTAACATTTACATTTAAAATCTCAGTTGTTTTTCCATAATACTCCTCATTCATCTCTATAATTTCACACATTATGTGCGATAATATATCTCTTTTTCTTTCCAACCACAGAGAAGCGTAGAAATGTTACTAACAAAATATAATTTAAAATGAACATATATCACTTGCTCCTAAGTAAATATTTTCCTCAAAAGCACATTTGAAAACAACCTCCTCTCAAAGGGTTATTTTCATCATAATCGATTATCGCAAGAAAGGGCTCAGGCCAAACGTAAATGAGTTTAATCAGTGAATATGTGACTCATAATGTTTAATACTTGAATTTTAAGTTAAGAGGACAATGGGCAGATGTCCAAGCTCATCCATGTCTTTCAGTTAGCAGACATCTTTTCTTACAGTGCATGATTCTTAAGTGCTCCGTGTTGATCCGGAAAGCAGATAGAATTCAGTATATTATTGTATTATGAAACTTTTTTTCATTGATTTACCTCGATTTGATTATCTGTTTGTCTCCACATGATACATCCAGAGACCTTCCACCAGCAGCACAACAATAATGAAAGCTCGAGTAAGTGCAACACTGTTACATGCTGGTGGCTGCCTGGAGGTTTTTTTAATGAAAGCAATGTCAAAGACATCAAGATTAAAGAGTTAAACATTGAGTTGTACTTAGTTAACATATCCAAATCTGCCTTGGGAGATATTTTGCTAAATGCAAAATTTACAGGGAGCAATTCCTTGACTAAGGGCTACTATTCCTTGAAACTAAAGGAGCTTAGTAGAAATTTAGAAACAAAAGCTTTTGTAATGTTATGGTATGTTTTGTGCTATGTTCATTTAATTTTATTGTATCGTTAATGCACTTGTATTATAATATATATTGCTGCATACATATTGTTATACCACATTCATCAAGGTCCCTGCTAAACTAATGGTTTCTGACTGAAATTAATTGCATGGATCCAGTATCTCAAGAGTCAACTAAACATTATCAAATCTACAGGACTGATATAGTTTATTTTTATGTTCCAATATATTGCATTGTCAAATTAAGAATAAGAAATAACTATTTTAATTAAATAAATCACACCATACTGTAACTGTACATTGTCATTAATGTCAATTATATGGACACTGTAACATCTTTTTTTTTGCATTCAGTCATCTTCGGTGAGTCCATTAGTCCCCATCATCCTCCACACTCTTGTGTGAATGCACAATGCCGTTTCCCTCATGCTCCAGACGGTACACTGCTACGCTCTCAAACGCCCTCCTCATTAATGGGTTCTCCTCTAAGACCTCATTAAAGCTGCTCACACTCAGTGAATAAAGTCTGCAGTATGTGTCGGCTCTGACGCTGGCTGTACGACGTCCACGGGTCAGCAGACAGATCTCTAGAAAAGAACAAACAATCAGCTCAAATCAGTTTTGTATCAATAGTCCGTTGTTGTAACATCTGTGTATAAATATAACACATTTTTTTAATCTTGTAAAAGCAAGGAAAAAATCAAACTCACCCCCGAAGTAGCAGCCGTCATTCAGTTTCTTCACTTTATTGTCATGAGTGATCACACTGACGCAGCCATGCTGGATGAAGTACATCTTACGACCAAGCGTCCCTTCACGGATGATTATATCACCCGGCTGAAAGACCTCGAAGCGTAACTTTGTGAGGAGCACTGTGACGAAGTGAGGATCAGCATTCGCAAAGAGAGGCATGTTAGCCACCAGCCCACGGCAGTTATAGTTCACTATCTCCTGCAGGTCAAACACACAATACAAGATGGATTAGGAATACTATTGTGATCTACCAATTCACTGGACAGTTTAGTTCTGACCTAAGATTAAGGAGTTTATGGATAAGGATTTGTCATTTTTAATTGAGACATGCTAAGAGATCATGAGACACAAAACCTTTATTACATTAACCAACATTGATTTACTAAATTTACTCAAACTATTGGCAAGATTTTAGAAAGGCATTATCTAAGTCTTGATCATGTCAATTTATTTTATATGTTATGTTATATGTTCATGTTAATACTTAATTGTTGTCCAAATCCACATCTTTGGTCATAAGTTGTAAGCCATTGAAATGGGCCGTTATTATGGCATGCAATAAATAATTTTTTCAATATTTATTATATACATTTATATAAACTAGGGTGTGCACAACTAATCATTTTACTAGTCAAACAAGTAGTCTGGTCAAATGTTCACCTTATGTAAATGAGTTTGTGTTAACTTATTTCTGCTAATTTTCACATTTTTTAAATGACAAAATTATCATTATTTTGGGAGATAAAATGCAAGACTGAAAACCATTTAAAAAACAGCACATCAATTTACCTGTTTTAAATAGGATATGGTTACACTTTATTTAAGGTGTCCTTGTTACAGTGCAATTATACATACAAGTACTGAGTAATATTAATTAACTGCATGTACTTACTATATGGTTAGGGTTTGGCTTAGGGTTACTTGCATGTAATTATGCATAATTAATCGTTATTATAATAGTAAGTACATGTAACATGTAACAAGGACACCTTAAAATATAGTGTTACCTAGGATATTTCAATAATCAAATAATAAATAGGATATTATTTCCCTATTATTACATTAAATATTAATCAATTAATTGTACAAGCAAAAACAGACATTTTGTTTACAGATGACAATCATGTGACTGACCTTGTGAGCAGCACAACCGTGAATTAATTACGTCAACCAAAAAAGAAAAGTCATTTCTGAGGTGGAGCAAGTTACATGAAAGATCTGACCAAAACATGAAAGAAAAAATATAAGAGAAACCTCTTTTAGCGGGTCGCTGAGTTCCTCGAGGATATTTTCCTCGTCAAACATCTTGCCCTGGAAGCGGTGCTCATAATAATCATGGATCCTCTGCCTCATGTCAGCTGGCAGCTTGTGGAAGGACATGTACTGTTCCACTTGTTTGTACTGTAACAAACCAAACAACAAAACCATTGACAAAAGGGGGAAAAAACAAAGACTCAAAAATGCTTTACTGAGCAACTAGTACCTTCTCTTGATACTGACGATGGGAAGCATCCAAGGACTGGATCAGGTTGGTGGCATTGCCCAAGAACATGGCGTAACAGGTGGCGCCAACAATCATGCTCATCATCGTGAGCCAGACATCAGTTGCTCCCTCAGGTGCCTGAGCACCATATCCAATACACAGCATATGGCTCATGGCCATAAAAAGGGCATAGGAGTATTGGACATCCCAAGTGGCATTCTGACAGAGAAAGACATATGGCAAATTTAAAGCAAAATGTAAAAGTTTAAGATTTTATTTCAGAAGCAGAAGTGCATTTTGTGTTTGCTAACAGTTTAGTGTGTCTTTGAGACACTACCCAAGATCCTCAAACATACCACCATGTTGTTTTTGGAGACCCAGCAGTTTGATGGGAAATCTTGCAGCATGGGCACCATGAACTGCATGCAGCCATCCCAGTGACACAGCAGCAGCATCATTCCAATCAGATTCACTATGCGAACTACTGCGCTTGCAAGGTCATAGGTCATATTGAAGATCTATAAAAAAAGTGATAGATGTACAGTCAGCACTAGAAGGTGCAGTCACATTTACCGTTGTTTGGCGAATTTTCACAGGCAAAATCCAGTAACTTCAATCCGCTTGTTAAGTCATGACGTATCGAATGCTGTTTCCGGTTCCAAGCCTCTACCCGTTTTCAATTGAGAGTACAATCTCAAAAACCTTTATGAGCACTGTTTATTCATATCACACATTTAAGCTAAGCACAGATATTACTTGAAACAAAGGGTTATTTAATGTGTTGATGTAAGTTTCACTGAAAAAGGAAGTTAGTGGCTCATCCCCTTTTTTATAAGTAGCGTAAATTCATTTACATCGCAGCCCAACAAAGCAGCATTTGAAAGCTTGTGACAGCAACAGTTTTATAAAAAGAATGAAGTCCAATAGGTTCCCCCTTTAAATTTAATATACAACTGTTACTTAAAAACAGATATCATTTTCAGTAAAACAGTCTGAAAAACATGTGATATATGTTATCTCTTCCCTTCATTATTGCACTTTATAATGCCAAGGATGTCTAATAGTTTGTGATGATTGATCTCCTCCATTGCATCACAGAATGATTTAATCAAAATCATAGTATTGTGTAGCCAGCCCTTCAGACTGACGGCAGAAGGTCTGGGAACCTTGGCCGCTTTTTGAATTGCCAAGGCCGTATGACTGACATGTAAAGCAACCAATCACGTTTCATTTTGTGCCACATCATGTTTAGGGGCGTGGAAATGTCCCCACAATGTGTAAAACTCTTGGATGTATTTTAAAGAGTCTGAGCCGCAAACGTTACATATTTCACATATCCAGTCCAATGTTTACAGGGAGCCAAAGTGCCTGCCATCTTGGCAAATTTAAAAGTGCTGGCTAATGCTAAACGTAAAATTCAGTAAGATTGTTATTCACGTTGGCACTAATGATGTTTGACTCCGCCAGTCGAAGATCACTAAAAGTAACTTTAAAGAGGTGTGTGAACTTGAAAGTACGATGTCAGACACCGTAATATGCTCTGGTCCCCTCCCTGCTTAGTGTGATGACGAGATACATAGCAGACTGTCGTCACTCAATGGCTGGATGTCTAAGTGGTGCCCGCAGAATAACATAGGTTTTATAGACAATTGGACGAGTTTTTGGGGCAGACCTGACCTTTTGAAAAGAGATGGTCTTCATCCCTCCAGAGGTGGTGCCGCTCTTCTCTCTAGAAATATGGCACATAGTCTTAGAGTTTGTACTTGACTAACTGGGGCCCAGGTCAGGAAGCAGACAGACTGGCTTAACCGACTGTCTGCTAGCCGCCTCACGTCAGAAATCAGTTAATTCTCAGCACATAGAGACTCCTACACCTAGATATCATACTATAGAGGCTGTGTCTGTTCCCCGAACTAGCAAATACAAAAAAGGTCTAAACCAATTTAAGGGTAGCAATTTAATTGATGTTCAACAAATTAGAAACAGATATAATACAGATAAACAAATGATAAAGCTTGGCTTAATAAATATTAGGTCCCTTTCTACGAAAGCGCTTTTTGTAAATGATGTGATCACAGATCATAACCTAGATGTGCTCTGTTTGACTGAAACCTGGCTAAAACCAGATGATTACATTACTTTAAATGAGTCTACACCTCAAGATTACTGTTATAAACATGAGCTGTCTAAAAGGTAAAGGGGGAGGTGTTGCTACAATTTATAGTAATATTTTCAGTATTTCTCAGAGCTGTGGTTTAAAATTCGTTTGAAGTAATGGTGCTTCATATAACATAATCTAGAGAAATAAGTGTTAATGACAGATCCCATGTGATATTTATATTGGCTACTGTATACATGTCACCAGGGCACCATACAGACTTTATCAAAGAATTTGCTGATTTTCTATCTGAGCTAGTGCTGTCTGCAGATAAAGTCTTAATTGTTGGTGATTTTAATATCCATGTTGATAATGAAAAAGATGCATTGGGATCAGCATTTATATATATTCTGAACTCTATTGGGGTCAGACAACACGTGTCAAGACCTACTCATTGTCGTAATCATACTTTAGATCTAATACTGTCACATGGAATTAATGTTATTGGCGTTGAAATTCTGAAGCAGTGATGATATCTTGAATCATTATATTCTTGTGTATACGCCATTTAGCTAAAGCTGCAAATTCAACTCCTTGTTACAGATATGGTAGAACCATCACTTCTACGACAAAAGTTCTTCCTGACTTGTCTCAATTCCTCAGCAAATCCAGTATTTCAGAAAAACTTGATGTAACAAAAACTATGGGCTCTCTCTTTCCTAGCACTTTAGATACGGTTGCTCATTAAAGAAGAATAAGGAAAACAGCCCGACACCGTGGTATAACAAGCACACTCGCACCTTAAAGAGAGCAGCCTGGAAAATGGAGTGCAGCTGGAAGAAAACAAAACTAGAGGTATTTCGTATTGCATGGATGGAAAGTAATTCTACTTATAGAAAAGCTCTAAAAACTGCTAGATCTGGTTACTTTTCGTCTCTTTCAGAGAAAAACAAACACAACTCCCAGCATTTATTCAATACAGTGGCTAAATTAACAAAAAATAAAGCATCAACAGGCGCAGACATTTCCGAACAGCACAGCAGTAATGACTTTAAGAACTTCTTTACTTCCAAGAAGTTCCTCTTTATCTTCCTCTTTTTATTAGAGATAAAATTCTAACCATGCAGCCATTAGCTACAGTATCGCATCAGACAGTGCGCTATAGATCCCCAGAGGTACAATTCCACTCATTCTCTACTATAGGACAGGACGAATTGTATAAACTTGTGGAGTACCACAAGGCTCAGTGCTAGGACTGCTGCTTTTCATGCTTTACGTTACCCTTGGGAGATATCATTAAGAAACATGGGATTAGCATTCACTTTTATGCTGATGATACTCAGCTCTATATTTCGTTCCAGCCCAACGATACATACCAATTCGCAAAACTAACAGAATGCATAGTTGATATAAAAAAAACGGATGACTAGTAATTTCCTATTGCTAAATTCTGAAAAAACAGAGGTGTTAATTATTGGACCAAAAACGCCCTCATGTAATAATCTAGAACACTGTCTAACTTGATGGCTGCTCTGTCAATTCTTCGTCATCAGTTAGGAACCTAGGTGTGCTATTTGACAGCAATCTTTCCGTTGAAAACCACGTTTCTAGCATTTGTAAAACTTTTTTGTTTTTCCATCTTAAAAATATAACTAAATTACAACCTATGCTCTCAATGTCAAATGCAGAAACGTTAATTCATGCGTTCGTGACCTCAAGGTTAGACTATTGTAATCCTTTTGGGTGGTTGCTCTGCGTGCTTAATAAACAAACTCCAGCTGGCCAAAAATGCAGCAGCTAGAGTTCTACCTACCAGGAAGTATGACCATATTAGCCAGAACAACGAATACATTTTAAAATCTTGCTAATTACTTATAAAGCCCTGAATGGTTTAGCTCCTCAGTACTTGAGTGAGCTCATATCACTTTATAGTCCTTCACTTCCTCTGCAATCTCAAAACTCTGGAAATTTGATAACACCTAGAATATCAAAATCAACTGCAGGTGGCAGAATTTTTTCCTTTTTAGCACCCAAACTATCACATTTCTATAAATCCGTTAAAGGATTGTTAGGCTGCATTAATTAGGTCAACTGGAACCAGGAACACTTCCCATAACACCCGATATACTGGAACAATCATGAATCATGAATTTCACATGAGGGCAAAAGATTTTGCCACAGATTTCACAACAGGTTCAAGTTGATCACACAAATTTGACACGTTGATCAACAGAAATCTGCTTTCTAGAGAGAAATCTATTTTTCCCACAAAATTTATCTAAAGTGAACGTACCTTTTCTCTGAATTATTTTCAAGTTATGGGCTATAACTGATAAACGGCATTTTAAAATTCTAAATAAATAAAAAAAATTAAACACTAAAGACAAAAATCAATCACTTTAAAAGTTACAAGGGTATTTAGGCATCACAACATTATAAAGTAGTTCAAAATCAACTAAATAAAAATTTGCTTAAATTAGTCCAAATAAAAATTAATCTTGAGAGTAGCTAAAAATTTTAGATTTAATTAAAAAAAAATGTTACATTTAACAGTGTTATTAAATCATCGGTGCATTTAAACTTTAACTTTAAATTATTGTTATATGCTGGCAAATGTAATGTAAATGTAAAAAAACACTAAAAACTCATTAAACTGAAGTATTACTACTCATGTATATTAACAACAAACATGGACGAGGAGAGACTGATTTTTTGGAATCAGTTTGTTATGGATGGACAAATTGCTTGTCATTGGAATATTGTTGTGCTTGATTTGCAAGTCATTCTAAAATTCAATGTCATGGTGCATTTTATTGTATCCCTCAGACAAAAGTCAAATTGGCAAATTTTCTGCAACTATATTTCCTTTGCTATTCTAGTCTCAAATTCCTCTATCCTTTTCTCTTCCTGTTCTTTTGCTCACCTCTTCCCATTGATGAATGTAACGTATAAGTCTGGACAAGCGCAACAATCTGAGCAGACTGAGGATCTTGGTGAAGCGGACGATGCGCAAAGCCCTGGCAGTGCGGTACACCTCTGCCGACTCAAGCCGGGCTTCTATATCCACCAACAGGAAGATGTAGTCTACCGGAATGGAGGAGATGAAGTCCACCAGAAACCAGCCTCGAAGGTAACGCCGACTGATCACTTGTGGGTCCAGGATGATTTGGGTGTTGTCGGCTTCCATAATACCGGTACGAAAGTTGAAGACGAGGTCAGCCAGGAAGAGAGTGTCGGAGGCCACGTTGAAGGTGATCCACGGCAGTGTGTTCTGATCCTCAAAGAAGGTGATGCCCCATGGCAGAATGACGAGGTTGCCCATCATCAGGCACAGCATCACCAAGTCCCAATAGAACCTGTGTGAAGATGCATGCTGTAAGGAACAAAAGATGGATTCTAGAGTATGTACATTAAAATTCATAACTACAATCAACCATGTCATTCAAATTAAAGGATGCACCAATGCAACAATATATTTAATATAATTATTTTTATATATTATGTCCAATAACTGATAAATAGTCAATATTACAATTCTACAATATTTTCTCAAAATAAATTACAAATAAAATACTAAAAACTAAAATCACAAGTGAAAGTAGGCATCACAGCATTATATTGTACAGTATGAAAAATGGATATTAATTTTGAGTTGCAGAATTTTGCTATATTTAACAGTTAATACATTGTTAGTGTTCTTAAATATTAATGTAAAAGAGCATGTTAGATGCAATTAGATGACTAATCTAAATGTACAAATATGCTAAATGAAATGGCACAATTAAATATTTAATACTAGACAAATATATATATA